GAGATGGAAGGAAGATAGAAGTAGCAAAAGGTTCCAGAGAAGGCGAGTACGGTTGGAGTCTAGCCTTGAACTGACGCCGAATAACGTCATCGTTTACTATTAGTACGAGTTACCACATTACGCTTTTATAAAACGCGACACACATACCCACAGCTTTGGTCGTGTCAGATTCTGCAATGTTTTTCTGTCACATAGGGTGAACGTGTGACTTGTTAACGAAATTAAACGTAGCTTTCGAGTGTATGGTGGCTACCGGTCTGACGTAACCATTTAATAACTGCAGACCATCGTAGACCTTGACCTCACTGTCGTTTCCACACTTTCTTAAGCTGGACGTTGTTTCTCTTATCTGACAGACGATTCTGTTCCGTTCTCGCTCAATTAAAGTGAACAGTGTTCCGCTGTTCGCACATTTCCCCGACATTTAGAATAAATTTTTCTTTTCTAACTAAATACCGGAAAATGTTAGAAAAATTATTGAAATTTCCAATTTCAGCTTGCAAAATGATGAAGTTTGTTTAGGTTTCAGAGAAATAAAAGATTTTCTCGACGAGCAATTATTTTAAGACCTCCTGTAGATTTTCTTTCGCAGAAAGTAGCGTGAAATAAAATTTAACGAACACGGATCTCGTGCAGAGACCAGACGTCGAGAAGTACAAGACGTTTGCGGTAGTTGGATCGAGTAACCATTGATCCCAGTGTGCGTGTACCCCGTTTGCCCGACGCTCCTCGTTATCTCGACCTAACATTTTATTTATTCGTGGGGAATAGATGAACGGTTCGTTGCCCTGCTTCTCGATCATCGATCGACGATATCCCCGTTGGTACCACGACGTACGAGAGGTTGTGCCAAAAACTGTTGAAATTTTCGTAGCGACTTCAAATTCCCCGGCTAACTTTTTCATTCATCCGTACTTCTATGACAACTTCGTTCCACTTTTATTCCCTTCTTTAACGGGAAGTTTTTAATCGAGCAAATTGCTTTCCTCTGACTCGGTTAGCTGTCAGTTCCGGTTAATTCGTGTTCAGTGAAATTTATAACGCAACTTTTATTTCGCTCCGTTGCGTGGGATACGGTTGCGTCCAATTCGTCAAGAAGATTCATCCGCGAAAATTTCTTTTATCATGGTTTCGTTCAATTTTACCACCTTATCAGTGGCTCGATGTAATTCCTATTAATTTCATTCAGACCCTCGGTATTTTAAATAAATTTATAAAATATTATTCATCTTAAAAAGAACAATTTCAGTTAACCACATCGACCGTGGCCGTGAAAAGATTCTTTCGAACTAATCTTTCCAGTTTGTCCCACGTAATGAACAGCAACGAGCGTGGGCAACGGGATTATTGAAGGAGAACCGCAAATTAACGTTATCCATCAAACCCGTAAGACGCATTGTTATCGAGATTAAATCATCGAACGGGTGCATTTTCTCGAGAAGCGTTTTATTTGATTATTTTATTCTCTATTGCTCGACTGTCGCGAAACATATAACGCGAAGAACGAGACTCGCTTCGTTTCGTCTTATCTAATCCTCGCGGATTATTTCACGATCGCGTTACGAAAGAACACGTCTTCGCTCCGGCAGTGTCGTTTCTCAAGGCTCCGTTGTTCTGATACTAGACGACCCAAGAAAATGTTCCACGGTCCCCACGAGGGAATTGCTAATACGCTACTTAACAGCGGCGAATAACTATTGATCGCGTGTAAGCTAGGTTATTCGTCTGCGGTGCTTCGTCGCCGACAGGCAAAAAAGTTTAATCCAACTCGAAATTGCATAGAAAAATTTCAAAATTCATTCGACAGAAGAAACATCTTCGCTATGGATGCATCTCGGAGAACGCGTTAATGTGTGTCGCGTCTGATGATAGAATTAAGACAGTTGAGTTTTGAGAAAAATGGTAAGTCAAAATGACCCAATTCTAAATGAATAAAAAATAGAATAAAAAATCATGAATGCATCGCACCAAGTGTCAAGATATTGAGATTAACTACTCTATAAAGTACTGACCAGCGTGGAACTATTAAAACGACGGTCGTCCAGAAGTGGAACAACTTAATCGTACTAATAGCTGTCGCACAGTTTAAAATACCACTCACCCGTACAACATGCTGTGCATAGTTCCATATTTTTAAGAACAACATGTTTAACTAGTCTAACGACTCATATTAAAATCAATACAGGAATTTGACAATTTTAAACCGGCATAAATCACTGTTACCATTGCTAATGCATGAAACGCGGACCATAATGACATCTTCGCGTTTTTCAGAGAAACTGAAGCAGAAAGGGTGTAACAGTATTGGGATCATTGATTTTAATGGCGCACGCTTCGTGGTTGGTCACTGTCATCGATGAAAAGAGCAACAAGGATTGCCAGACCGGATTCGTCCTTTCAGACGGATGAGTAATGAATTGTCAGCATGTGTCGCCGGTACGAATCTAGGTCACCGCGTAATTTTATTTTAATTTCTACGCTAGACGATCGATCACCGTCACAATAACCCGTTAACGCTATAAAATCTATTGTTGAAAGTCATTCGAGTCAGCGATGAAAAGCAACCACTTAAAAAGCAAGAAAATCAATAATTGCATCCTTTTTAATCTTAGATTTATTTCGTTTATTCGAATTATTGTCGCGAGAATTTTTCAACGTGTTTCGCTATTGTCTGATATCTGATGGAGCTCCAAGTATCGAGCGACGTTGCACAAGGCAAAGTCAGGCATCTTTCCAGTCGCGACAAAAGTCTGCGTGAAAGGAAGTACAAGTAGTTTTTCCATGAAACCCATTCGTTGGGTGAAACGGGGAAAAAAAGAAACGAGGCGTGAGCGTAATTAAATGACAAATCAACCACGATGAGAGGACACATTTAACGAAACAAAGAAATTACAGTTACGTAAAATTTGATAACAACAAGCGTTTTATTTAGCTTGGCTCGGATGAATCACAGTGACGTACGCAAACATTTCATTGGCCTTTAATTAACATTGACCTGGTATCGATTTATCTCTGCAAGAACGATCTTCGTGCAGCATTGTAGCCTACTCTCGTCGACCTATTAATTCGAATACTCTATCGAACCATAAGAGTACCACTTTTATAGTCAAAAAATAGGGATGTAAGGTGGGATTTTGAAAAATCCTATGAAAAACCTCCAACGTCAGTAGATACTGCATTCTACTAGTGTAAGTAGATCCAGACATCTAGTGGTTATGGTCAAAGATGCGGACGTTCATATTAAGAATGTGCGACTAATTTCATAATAATGTCATTTTTCACCAAATTAAGTTTTTATATAACCACCCTTCTAGAAGGGTGACATTCATATCTGTGTTAAATGGTGTTCAATACTCTCTATCAGTTTTCTTCAGCTTTAGAAACTCTAATCGATGAATCAATCGTGTTGAAAATCACGTACACCCTCAGGCATGCCCTCTGTCCGCAACTCCCCCGCCCTCCCCCAATCGAACCACCTCCCAACGAGGAATTCCTTTAAAAAAAAAAACGGCAAAGTACCTTTAATCTCAGCGATGTGCGCGTCGTATTCGCTTTTACTGCGTACGTATTCGATCCTGGCAGCTACGTTCTGGAAGCTCTGAGTATGATACTCGGCGTACCACTCGGAGGGTGTTCGATCGTCCGGCCCCAGATGCTGTTGAGGGCTGCTGCCCCTCCTCTGCGACAAACTCTCCTCGGACGGAAATCTGGTGAAGGAGGTTACCGAGCTGGACTTACTTCCGTGACTCGGCGCCCCGTGACTGTGACTCTGATAAGCCGAATCCTCGAGGGCGTGTTCCTCGCTCGGTGTCCTGCTGGTCTCCGCTAGGACCCTCTGATGAGATTCACCGGTGGCGATCTCTCTGACGCTTTTTCTCACCGTGATTTTCTCGAACTTCACTACCTTCGAACCGTTCAATTCACCCTCCTCTACGAGTCGTTCGAAGCTTTCCTCGAACGACGAATCGCTAGCCCTCGACGATGGTCTAGGGTTCGTAGGCGATCGGAAATGAGCGACGTTACGTCTGCCGTCCAATTCGTGGTACAGTTCTTCGGAGCTGGCAGTTCGTCCTCCGGACCAGACCTGCTCGAAGAAGCTGACTCTGTCCCGTAGTCGGCCACCACGTGGGGTGGCCGGACTAGCAGGGCTGGTCCGGCTACCGGCAGGACTTCCGCCCTTCGGTGGCGTCGACATTACTCGCTCGGAGCCGATTTTTTACCTTTGTTCCTCGCAGCTAGCCACCACGAAAATTCATACCGCCTACGGTACGCGCAGCTATACGCGTCCGTTTCCGGCTTCTGCTCGTTTCACGGTCGAGCTAACCGCTCGTGGACACCTGTTCTTCGCACACCACACCCTACCCGCACCACCATGCGTATATCGGCAGCCGCGCCTCCCGTACCTCGCCGGTCGACGCGAAAAACACCGCCAACGTTCCTTTTTTCCTTCTTTTTTTTTTTCTTTTTCTTTTCTCTCGCGCGTGTAACTCCAGTCCGCTTGATCTCGCGTACAAACGAGGAGGTTACCTTGTACCCGCGACGTACTCACGCATATTGGCCGCTCGCGACTATGTGCGATACGCGTCTACCGCTCACACGGAATGCACTCTGGCCGCGCACCACGGCCGCCGGTTCGATATTGCTGCCTCTCTTCCCGACCTCTCGCTGGGTCCCCACCTCGTTCCGCCATGCCGTGCCCTCCGTGCCCTCCTATACCCCCAGACCACAAGTTCTCGTTGTCCGCGATCCGCATTGCACGATGACGAGGACGACGACGACGACAACGACGACGACGACGAGGAGATGGTCGAGTACGATGACGATGTCTGTGACGATGCGAACCATGCGCCACCGTACGCCGTCTAGACCTGACGACTGGTCTCTCTATGTCTGGACAATCCAACCTTCCTGATGGGAAGCACGCCGACCGATCGATGCTTTATCCTGCGTCCTTCTCCTCCGCTAGACTAAATGTCACTTTGCGCCGCGCCGTTTGAACGTGCGCGCCTTCTGTCCACTCTGACTCGCTGCTTATTTCGATTGGTCGGGTTTTTTTCGGGTTGCGGATGGACGATGGGTGGTGGTTTTATGGAGAACGTGTTTTGTTGATTTAGATGTATCCGAAGGGTGAAGGAAGATGCTGCGATTTTGGTTGACAGGAAACTTGAAAGTCTTGAAATCTGACGAAGATCTTATCGAGAAGTCATTTCTATCAATGAGGTATCTCTTTTTAATATCCTGATTACTGCGGAGGTCATTGGTGATCGATGATTTGAACTTTGTATCATTTTATAATTAATAACAAAGGGAAGTCAATGTGTTAAAACCACACTGTTACTAGATGTCCAAAAAATGGTAAAATGTTCTAAATTATAAGTGGTATGCTTTAACGAGTGAACAGTCTAGCAGTCGATAATGAGCGGATATTTGTACATCTCGTCACTTGCCAAGAAGATTCTGGCAGTTTTGCAAACAACCGATAAATATCGTCCAAGAAACAGGATTTTAATGATTGAAACAACACTCGAGTTGGAACAGTTGTTGTTAACAAATTGTCCAACTAACGCGGTTCTATTCCGCGCGATGACGAATCGTAATGATTAAACAGACTTTTTATTTTCAGACTGACTCGAATGAAGGTGAATTGCTGTTGGTAATGGCAGCCGAAGAGCAAACAGATTATTTTCTGCGAGAAAATTAAAGGGACACCCACGCAGATGTTAATCCTCCGAAGGATATTTATTAAACCAGGAGATAAAATCTCGGAGTAACACGAACGAAGAACGTGGTTAATCGAGGTTCAAATTTTTTAATTACCATTACGCGACATATTAACGCTGTCTTCGACCGTCTAAAACCGTCTCGATAAACATGTTACAATATCTATAAATAGACGTGATTTGTTAAAGGTTCGCTTAAGCCGATTCGTAGAACAAAATACAGGAAAAAAGCGAAATAAGCCGATATCGTATGTGGGACGTGGTAAGAAACGGTACGAGTATTATCGGTGGTACCATTCTGCGAAACAGTGACGCGTTATCGATAAATCATCGTTGCGTAATACGATGATAACAGTAACTAGTAAACAAAACAGCCGGAATCGTGTCATTGTATTCGACAATTTACTTTTTCAGATTATCTTCCTCAATTATCTTCAGGGAGCGCATACATCAGCGAGGTTCATTCAAATTTTAAGTGACACAGTGTAGACAGTACGGCATTTAAATGATGAATTTTTCAATATTTTTCTCATTGCAGGAAAGTCCATGATACTTGTTTCAATATTTCTTTCATATAAATTAGAAATGATTGCCTTGATTGGTTTAAATCGCGTATAAAAATAATATTTACGACGAGAATTCTCGACTGTTCGTCACTCGGGATTAATTTAATTCCCGGTTAAGCTGGGAAATAAACGCGTATCGAAATTGTATTACTTTATCTGCGAAAGACAAACTCGAGGCTGATACCAGCGGAGGAAGAAGAATGTTCTCCAATCTATAGGTCGCTTCAAAAGTCATTGATTAGGAATTCAGAGATTTAAAAGAAGAAGAATATAAAGAACTAATTGATCAGGAAAATTATCAGTGTGTACTTTTAACACAATCTACTCTATGTAAATACTAAATAATTCAATTTAGTATCAATGGGTCTTTGGATTTCCGACAAAGTTAATCAGAATGCCGATGAAATGTTAATGAAAATTTCAGCATCCTCTCGAAATTGATTGATTTTTTTAATTTACCGATTTTCGTACGTCCAAAGAGAAAAGTCAATGGTGGCAATTGTGAACGGCCACAGCAGGTGCTTCGTCACATCTATTTATAAATAGTCGAGCCATCGTCTTCTATTTCTTCTGCACGGTTCAACGAATAAGTATGCGAATCACACACGGTACATACAACCGATACCGATTGATTCGCGCTAGTAGCATGCGAAATTTCGCAAATCGGTCTCCTTTCAACCCGTGGACATATGCAAATTATTTTGCAGCCAGTTATTGCGGTAGGTCGGACACGGACTGTTCGAAATAATTCTGGTGGGCGAAGAAAATGATTATGAAATTTTCTAGCGTTCTAATAATTTGGTGTTCTAGTATTTCAACGTTCCATTATCCCAGGGTTCCAGTGTTCCATCATTATAGTATTCCAACATTCCACTTTACTATCTATTGTTCTAATTTTACAAACCCGGCAATTTAGGATCCTAATATTTTATGAGATTCTGGATATAAGTAATCAAGAATTACATAAACATTTCTGAGAAATCTGTTTGTAATGGGTTCAACGCGTGCGTAAATCTTTTAAGCCGGTTGAAAACGTTGGCAAAATATTTGCCCTCCTTCGAAATCGTGCTTCGAAGACAGACGAGAAACGACCACACGCGTGTGATCGAATGTCTTGAAATTTTTTAAGAAAAAAATATTATCGTGTAACCTGTATCGTATAACAAATGTTTTCTTTTCCAGAAAATTAAACATTCCGATCGTTTACGTTAATTAGCGGTTCTATTCTAATTACCGGCGTTCGATTGCTAATGCCCACGCATAATTTGTAAGAACGAGTTAGAACGTAAATGTAAAAAGCAGTACAACTCGTACAAAAAATTGATGTAAGCCATTACTGCCGGTGTTAATCAAGGTTAAAAGGAATCAATATCGCGAAATGGAGTTTGTGAATTGGCAGACTAACTTTCATTGATTCCTCGCTTGCCAAAATGTATCTCCCACAACCGCATCGGAAACATCGGTTTTTGGTCGGTTAGATCATTGTCAATGTCCATCTTGAAGACGACGTTGCACAGAAATAACATTCACCAGTGATGGATGCCAATAAAAACTGTTCCCCCCAGACTGCTATACACTCGCTACTAATTTGCATTCAAATTATCGAGGACTATTAAAAGATGCTGTTTTCATCCTAAAGGATTCCCAATATTTTCCACTAGTAAAATGATCACAGACAAAATTAAATACAAATTTTACGTGATCAATAATCAATCGATCTAGTTTTAATTCAATGCGATAAACCAATGATATCATCACGTATTATTAACTAGTTCAAAGGAGAGGATAGATGCATATAAAAAAATAATACTCACTCTGAAGTTGCTGAATAGTAGCCTGGTACTCGGCTAATTTTTCATCCACATAATCTTGACTTTGGTTGGCTATTATTTCCGCAGTGCTGGGTCCACTGGATTCTTCTTCTGTTTGCGAATGATCTAGTGGTACACCAACGTACTCGTAATCCCCGGGTCTATATGGTCCAATCATGTATTCTGCTGGTCCGCAAGCTAAGGGCGACGATGTACCACTTTCCATCGAGCTCTATTTAAACAAAGCAAAGAAAATAACAACGACAACGTGAATATTAAATAAACAGTCAATAAAATTCATTCAATTATTTAATATGAATACGTTTTTGTACGTCAACATAAATGTTATTTATATTTATATCGTTATTAAATAAGAACCTTTCAATAGGGTTTTACTCTTTCAACTTCCTGTAATCGCTATGCTTTACCTTTCTACGCTGCAACCTTTCAATTATTCTCTGAAAGCAATTTATTTTCATGAACCATTTACTTTTATAACTTCCTTATTGATCCGTCGGTTTCTTGCCCCCTTAACATCGTTTCCTTTACAACCTTAACATCTTCGTACTTAACTCAGTTCTCTTAATCAAATTTTTAAGCCAACAAATATTTATATACCATAAAATTTATGGTTGCTTTAAATTTGTGTCGTTGGTCATTAAGAACCACCGTGGTACTTAACGTATTAATTCCTGTTTCCCTCATTTTTGAACCTAGATATCCTCGCACGATCCTTAAACACTTTTATCCTTTCTCCCGGTTCGTGATCTTGATGGACAGCGAGAACATTCATCAGTTTCTAAGCTGTTGATGAGTCAGCACGCGAATCCTCGACCAGGTCAGCGAATTTATCACGAGCGTAATCTATCGACTCAGCAGATGCAATCTACTGAGAGTGTCTACGAGCGTATAAAGTGGACGGTTCGAGAATCCAATATGACATAATCGTTCCTAACTATTCAAAAACAAATGAAAATAGGACGAAAGACAATTTGGGATATTAACAGAATAGATTCTGTAAATTGAAAATTCCACTAATATCAACCCTAAATATCAAATTGCAGCAGAATGTCTATTAATTTTGCTCTAAAAATTCAAGAAAAATTCAAGAAAATTCTCTGATAAAGAGAATACGAAACCTGAGTATAAACAGATTTTGCATCCTCCGATCGGAGTGCATTCACATTAAACGGCGCAGCTGAGAAACCGTTCGTCGAAACATACCGCGGCCTACATTTTATTCAGGTCCCTATTTCGAAGAAGCCTCGACCGAGGGAACGCGTGGCATCGCGTGGGCGTGAAGAAGACGTTGCAAACGAAAGGAGAAACGCTCCACGTGGCGAATTCGTCATCGCGAATCTTCAACCTTCTCGGTCGCAGGAATGGATCGTTAAATTTCACGCGAACACCGAGCCGAGTCTTTTGTACACGGTGAAATGGCGAGGCTTTCACCTTTCATCTTTCGTGACTCGAAAGAATTTCCATTCTCGAGAACCCTTGAACCCACCGGTCTTTCACTGCCACGTTAACTTCCTCTTTCGACAGTCGATTCGTGCATGCAACGTTTCCTTTACGATTTCGTACACGACGATCCCACAGAAACTTAATCTAATTCTGAAATATTAATTATTTCAATTCACCTGTGTCGGTATGAAAGGTCTGGGTGCTTGACTCCCAACCGGAAGGGGGGAGGGCCATCTAGGCCTGGGACATTGTATGTAGCTGGTCGGCGATCCGAAAACTGGTGACATCCCCGGTGAAATCGGCATTCCTATGGGCACCGGGCTCATCGGGTGCATCATTCCGGAATACGTCAACGGGGACGCAGGATGAGCATGATGGACCGGCGTGGGTGGTCCTCGAGGACGCGGTGAACTCGAGGGACTGTAAGGCGACGGAGGTCTGTAATGGGCTGACACGTTCGGTCTGGCCGACCAGCCACCCCCTGGCCCGCCTTTTCCATGGGGTTTCGACGGCGGCTGCGACATCTCTGACTATTTCGAAGATTCACGGGGCACTCTTCGATCACCTAGCATCGCTGTAACGAACGTTAACACTTCATTCATTAGTTTGTTTCTTGGAAAATATTTTCTTCCCACATTCCGACACTTTGCTGGCGGAAGACCCGACAGTGATATCATTGGCGTGCCGACAGTTAAGTCATTGACGCCATTTATCAGGGGAAAACCGGCGATATATTAGTGAAATATAAACCGGAAGTGTAGCAAGCAAACATGCAATCGTGCGTTGACTGATTTCTGATTTTCGATAATTATCGAAAGTGAGCGTGTAATTTTAATTAAAAAATGGGAGAGCTAGCAATTGTATCGGTAATTGAGCACGATCAAAGAGATATTCTATGGAAGCTGAAGCGTCTTCGACGTCTAACGAGCTCTGGGTCGCGTAGTGGCAGTGAGTAGGCAGATTAGGATGGGCAATCGTCCAAAAGTATCTCGAAATAGGCGCTTAGATTGTCTGCCTTCCCGCTGACTTGTGCACGTTAACGCGTGAAAAATGTGTAACGTACAAATCGCGGCGCCGTGCGTGACGTTACACAATACGTGGACGTGCATATCGGTGAAGTTAAATGAAACTATGCTTTTCGCGTTTCTTATCAGGGAATTCGTGAGCTCTTTCGACAACAGGTATCGTGGTACGTGGAGAATTCGACTGGAAACTCTGCTCAATCTTTCGGATAAAAAATAACATCAAACAGTGTATTTTTACTGTTTCTATAAAAATAAATTACGATACCTTTCTGTTTATTGATAATACTCGATTTAAAAAATAAAAAATTGTTACGTTTAATTTTTAAACATGCATGAACCTTATGATGTATAAGGAAGTTGGGTGCGACACAGGTCGAAGGTCTAAAGGTTTTTTGGCTAGATGGCGAGTGTAGGCCGACTAAATATAGCGACATTTCTATTTTAGAGAGATTCGAACGGTGGCCACAGACACGTCCGACACCGCAGGTATATTTGCAACGACTGCGTCAGATATTTCAGAAAGTGACGCGAATATTAACACCTACAATTGGCCTTGCTACGACACTCGTGTGCACGGTGCATGGCGCCTTCATTGTACGCCTCGAGATGCCACGCACGCCTTTCATTCAAATTCAAATTATTCTAGGAAGTATTCTTTTCATTTTTCCAAGTATTCGCGAGAGATGTCGAACGTGTGACGTTTAAACTTCCAAGGGTAGCTATTAAAAAATTGAGAAATTCATTGTTAAATTTTACTGTTCCTTTTTTCTTGGTCGATGAAAACAAATACAAGGATCCTGTACAGCCGTGTTACCCTTCAAAGCGTCCATTTTGTTCTTGTTAAGTTCACGAGCGCCATTACGAACGAGAGGTTCGACGGCTGGCAGTCGTTCGAGTTCGTTCCACTGATTTCGATAAAGCATCCAGAGGAATCGACTGCCGGTCTATTTATAAACGACACCACTCGGCAACGATAACCCATGTGCATACGAAACCCAGGTGGGTTCCTCGTCTGATGTGGATAAAAATACAAATCGAAGGCCCTCCTTGTGTTAACGAAGAAAGCACGCGCTTTCGGGGAAAGACACGAATATACGTCAAACGACGAAATTACATGAAATAAAAGTGAATCGATGGTTTCGTAGGGTGAAAAAGAGACGCGTTATCTACGCTCACACGGCTGTTAGCTCGCTGGATCCTGGACCTCGGATGCTGCGTCCAAAAATAAGATTACTGCCGAATTAACGAACAGAAATAGTCTTCGTTCAGAACGGTTGCTCCTGACACAGGTTGCTCGTACCAGAGATTAAAGCCTGAGCGATCACTATTGAAATCCGGGCTCGAAATGCTAATATTGGGATTAAGATGAAGATCGAACGTCGGAATGAGCGACGATTAATTGTGGGAACTCGTTGAGACTCTTGGAGACTCAAACTACTCGATAGTTGTATGTCATTCGTCTTTCTATCTATTAGTAATTTCAATCGTTAAAGAATTCAATATCATAAATACATCTTTGAAATATATTCTATTACAATGCTTTTACTATCAAACATCTAAATTCTTAATTGATAATCGTAGATCACCGTTGACCAACGTTAGAAATCAAATATCATCAAATACTCTGAATTAGAATTTCATCACAGGGTTAAATCGTTGAACTTTGTTAGAAACATCCGGTAAAACCATCAAAGAAGATTTCTCGGCAAAGAGTTCGGCACCGTGAAGAAAGAAGCAAACGAGAATAAGAGAATAAACAAATGAATGTATGACCAATAAACAGCGAGATCTCGAACGGTTCCAAGAGTCCAACGAACCCCATCACCAGAGGCGCAATACTCAACCCCTTCGCTGAGCAGAACGTATACAAAGGTTATTGAAAATCAAGAATGTTAAACGATAGACACGATAGAGGATATGTTAAATTTTCAGACAATTTCACAAATCATAGAATTATAGCTAATCTATATTAGATCTGATGGGTTAAGACTCACGCAATACCAAAAAGGGTTAACATAAGCAGATTCAAAATTAACAAGATTAAAGGAAGAAGGTGAAGAATAAAAGATAATACCGAAGAGACGTCGGGCCGTCGACAAGAAGGGATGAACGAAATCCAAGAATCTTTAGAAAATCCAAAGTGTAAACGGGTACACAAATGGGTCGTATTGGTTCCGGTTGATCAAGAAGGTTCGATCGGTTCGGTTCAGGTCGCGATTTCGCGTAACACCGTCGGCTAAGGCCGCGATGATCGAAAGGAAAATCGTGTCGAAAAAAAAAAAAAAAGGAATCGCGGGCAAACGACGTATCGTAGTCGATTTTCGTAGTCGGTCCACGACGAAGACCACGAAGAGACTGATCGGTCCGCTGGTTCATCGGTCCTGGACCGCTTGCCGCGACATTTATATTTAACTTTGGCGTCGCTCGACTTTCGGCTTGGGTTTACGCTCGTACCGCGATTCCGCTTAGCGTTCCCGTTCTACATTTCCTCTTCCCTTTGCCTCCCTTTCGCCCTCGATGCGATCATCCCTCTTTTCGCCGCGACGCCTCTCGCCGACACTCGCTTCCCAACCACGATCACGCGTTTCCGTTTTATTATCGGCGGTGAGGTAAGATCGTGCTTTCCTTCGGATCGACGTCGAATCTTCGGGACTTTCGATGATCAATGCTGATCGTCATCCTTCCTGCTATTATAGTATCATTACGTTATACACAAGGTGGTAGATGCAAATGTTGTTGCCCATTTTTCGGTACAATTAAATAAACATTAATAGGTATTATACTAATGACGGAATTTTCCCTAATTTTTTATTTAAAATTCTGTGGTGTTTAAAAACTATATCTTCTATTTAAGTTATAAATATTTATGATTATAGATAAATAATATTTTTTGGTATATACTTCATAGAATAATTGTAGTTTACCGAAGTAACAAAGGGACGAGACCTAGAACTGGAAGTTCACAGCTGGTGTCCACGAGGTTGTCGATTGCCTTGACCCCTTTAGTCTTCGCTACAGAGCCTAATTTTATCCATTATTCACGATAAACATGTAAGTTTCCTTTGCTTTTTTAAAGAATATATTGGAATCTGCAGCAGAAATAAAGTATTAAAACAAGCTATAAATCTCGCAGCCAATTCGCTCGTATTATTTGATATATAATTAATAAATGTACCATAGAAATAATGATAGAGTTATTAATTACATATCAAATAATACGATTGCCCAGGTCTCACCACGAGGAGGTTGCTGCGGGTGGAGACCCGCCCTACCTCATCCCATCCACCCTCCATTTATACAAAAAATTAATTTTTTTCTTTATAATAATAACATCATCCTCTTGATGCACATTTGCAAAACATTTTTGATTGCTGTGCAAACGAACAACAAAAGGAGCATTATTTCTATTCACTACCTGCCTATCTATTTATCTACTAATATCTTTATTCTTCAATTCAATCTCAACATTTTTTTACTTTAATTACAGATCTGTAATTGATAATATGCAATTGCATATTTGTCTTACATACTTATTACTAAGAATACTTATCTATACGAGCGCTCGTAATTATATTAAAAATTTGCTTAAATCTAACGCTTCCTAATTAAACACTGCAGTGTTTAATGATTATATCTTAATGACCATAAAGTCATTCTACAAAACGATAAACTTACAACGTGTTTATATAAAAATTTAAAGGGATATACATAAATAAATACAATGAATTTGTTGATTCTGTTGTCCTCACCAGAATGCTTCCTGAAATAAACTATGAAAGATTAGATACAATTTGCAAAAATAATAATATTCGTATTACCTTAATACTGAAATACTTTCTGAAATAGACTAAAAAGGATTAGATACAATTTTCAAAAATAATAAGATGCATATTACCTTAATACGAGAATAGTTCCTGAAACATTTGGAATAGGATGAGATACAATTTGCAAAAATAATAATATTCGTATTACCTTAATACTGAAATACTTTCTGAAATAGACTAAAAAGGATTAGATACAATTTTCAAAAATAATAAGATGCATATTACCTTAATACGAGAATAGTTCCTGAAACATTTGGAATAGGATGAGATACAATTTGCAAAAATAATAATATTCGTATTACCTTAATACTGAAATACTTTCTGAAATAGACTAAAAAGGATTAGATACAATTTTCAAAAATAATAAGATGCATATTACCTTAATACGAGAATAGTTCCTGAAACATTTGGAATAGGATGAGATACAATTTCTAAAAATAATAATATTCGTATTACCTTAATACCAGAATACTTCTTGAAACAAACTAAAAAGGATTAATTACCAAAATACGTCCTGAGATATTTCTCTGCAACAGAAACTTATTAATTGAATCCATATTAAGACAAAAAGTTTAATAGCTGGAAAGAAGATGCGTTAGTACAAACAAAATTTTACAAAAAACAGAGTCACTGTTAATGACTCATTTCCAATGAAAAGAAGGAACATCAATACAATTTCAGTACCAAAATAAAGAAAAAAAAATATTTAAAAAAATATATCGTTACACAATAAGTGGTTTGATTTAAAAGGATTAATTATTTTTCATTTTATAGTATCTAATATTCGTTCATTTGTTGACAAACAGTACACGATACTTTAATTGAAACAACTATCTTTTACTGCAATATACGTACAATCATGACTCTACTTGACTTTATTGCATTATATTATTCAATACACCTTTCAATGCAAATTTATTGTAAATGGAAAAACTGAAAAGAAAATCGCGAGTGGACTTTGCTTTTCAGGAAAAGAATTTGAAAATTTATAAAAGTAATTTAATTAGCATTTCCGTAGCTTGAAACGAAACACCGCGATTAAAACTTAAAACTGAACAACTTGAACAACAATTATCCACTACTTCTGTTTAAATAAAGTAAAATTAAAATTTAATAAGCTATCTCAAATGAACAAATATTCCTTGAAATAATTTATCACCAATCATCACAAAATAAAATGAACATCCATTTTAAATAAAACTTTGAATAAAGTTCTATTTAACTTTAAAATTATAAAACTTTATCGTATTTAATAATATTCTGAAAACATTAAATTCATAAATTATTTAACAGTATTTCCAATAATCGAATGCTCAAAATTTTCAAAATTAAAAAAGGAAAGAAAAAAAAAGAATAGGGGCGGGGCAGTGGGAGGGAGGGTACAGGGGAACCTGAAAAGAAAAGTTTGACTGCCCATAAGAGCAATCCCTAAGCAAACCCTATAAAACAAACCGAAATCACACGCAACACTAATTTCAAATTGCAAACATTTCTGAACTATGACAAAACATCGGCTGGCAACGAGGGGTCTCACGCCCCCTAGACTTACGCCAGACGCTACATACCACCCACCCCGCCTGGACGTCGTAACGCCAGGACAGAGTGCACCCCTTCGCTAAGAGCGCTACCCGCCCGTCCAACACGTTGCATCCAACGGTGTCAGATTGACGGACGCCCATAGTATAGACAAAAGGACTACAGTTTAGAATATGGTAACATATTTTCATATGTTCCGTATTCTAAAGCTGCGCCTGCAAAGGCCTAGTAATGCATGGGTATATCTCCCAGAGATGGTGTTCACGGTCTTAGGCCGCGGAATCCTTGACTAGCAATGGATTCCCACCGAATGTGAGTCATAGTTACTTCCACTAATTTAATAACAATCGCGAATTTAGTCGCAACACTAATTTCATTAATTATATAATATGTACAAAAGCGCACGCGTGTAGGCTGCTCCATTATACGCAACACTAAGCTGAAAAAAAGAAGAAAAGAGAAAACGCGAACTGTAACGCAACACTAGTAAAATCTACCGAATTTTCTAAGACGCAACACTAATCTAAAAAAGGGGTACAGCCAATCCAAGGCTGTACCACGGCAGCTGATCCATAGCTGCCTTATGGACCATGGCAAGTCCACTGGATCGTTTTTGGGCATTTCTAATGCAAAACGCGAATATTCATTACCGCAACACTAATTAGCAGGGAACTCTATAAACTAATGCAAAGCAATCGCGTATTTATAAGTCGCAACACTGGGAAACAATCGCGCTAATGTCTATCGCAACACTATCTTTAACAGACATGCAATTAAAATGCAAAAAAGGGGGATTCTCAAACCGTGAATTTTTTACTCGCAACACTAATTTTATTAATTATATAATATGTACAAAAGCGTACGCGTGAAGGCTGCTCCATTATACGCAACACTAAGCTGAAAAAAAGAAAAAAAGAGAAAACGCGAACTGTAACGCAACACTACTCATTGTCAAATCTACCGAATTTTGTAAGACGCAACACTAATCTAAAAAAGGGGTACAGCCAATCCAAGGCTGTATCATGGCAGCTGGTCCATAGCTGCCTTATGGACCATGGCAACTCCACTGGATCGTTTTTGGGCATTTCATCATATATCGCAACTCTAATGCAAAACGCGAATATTCATTATCGCAACACTAATTAGCAGGGAACTCTATAAACTAATACAAAGCAATCGCGTATTTATAAGTCGCAACACTGGGAAACAATCGCGCTAATATCATTCGCAACGCTATCTTTAACAGACATGCAATTAAAATGCAAAAAAGGGGGATTCTCAAACCGTGAATTTTTTATTCGCAACACTAAAGCAATCAACATTAAAAAGCAAAACTCTCAAAAATCTTAAAGCAATCAACATTGAAAGTTAATTCCATTTGAAAGCAATGCAAGAAAGAAACGCGATATTTAAAGTTCGCAACACTAAATGAAAATCGCGATAATCATGTATACGCAACATTAAATTGAACCGTGATCGATATTCATTCGCAACACTAAATTGAACCGTGGTCAATATTCGCAACACTAAATTGAAAACGCGATTTGCCCAAAATCATGGGGGTCACGGGCCCCCTCTTGTCCTGAAATTACAAAACTACAACTACAGGCAAGCACAGTGACAAAGTAGTAACGATAATGATTTCCCATCCTTTTTTGCAAAAGGATGCAAAATCATTAGTAGTTCCCCTCTTGAAAGACAGTTTGTCGGGGCGCTTCGGCATATAGCCTTTTCTTTCTTCGGGCGGTCCACCCACCTGAAACTTATATCTAAAGCTCGAGACTTGCAAATTCGCAAAACCAAAAAAAAAACAATCAACAAAAAAGAAGAATCGCGAAACTCTAATTGACACGTGGACGAAAAAGGACTTTATATAAGTCGTTGTTCGTGCACACGTGCCGTGCTCGAGCAGAACTTGTGCGTTTCGTACCATCGCGATCGCGTATGACGACTTATGAAGTCGCCAAAAATTTGAAAAATTGTAC